TAATTTTTTTTTTTTTTGTTGGTCGTCCTCTAATTGCGGCCGCAACTGGCACAGCCATCCCCTAATTGCGGCCGCAACTCGCTCAGCCGCGCTCTAATTCCGGCGGCAGCTCGCGCGGCCGGCCAGCCCCTTGTTTTTATAAAAAATTAAATATTTAAAAATTATATAATTTTTTACTACTTAATTATTAGAGAAACGAATTAATAGTTATTAAGGGAAGTTGCTACAACATATATAGTCATTCAATGTCTTACATTGAACTTTCTCATTCAATGTGGGATATTTACAAATCAAAGTTTTCACTCTCCCAACATTTTATAGTCACTCTTAGCCTTTATTATTGTATTTGTAATCGATGTGGGATTGTACCAAACCTCTAGCATTTTATAGTTACTTTTTGCATTCTTTTTTTCTTTCAAAATCAATGTGGGACTAAATGATCCATGCTTTAACACACTTTCACTATGTATGTCAAGATGAATATCAATTATCATTAATTAAACTTATTATTATCTTAAATTAATAAATAATTAAATTTAACTAAATGAACATGAAATGTGGAAAAACATTATGGGCTTTTACAAAATAAAAGAAAATACACTTATTATCCTACTTTCATTTTTTTTGTTAGTGAAATAAAAAAATATTTAAATATTATATATATATATATATATATATATATATATATATATATATAAAAGTTACTATTAGTTAGTTTAAGTATTTGAATGTTTTAAACTGTCTTAATATTTATTAACAAAATTTTTATATAATATATATGAAATTATTAATATATAATAATAAAGTTAATATATTATATAATATATATTATATTAGTATGATTACTATAAATTATGATAGTATAAAATATAATTAATTATAATGAAAAAAGTATATCAGTATAAATTATTACGTTATAGATTAGAATTGAGTATTCTCCATAGCCCTTTTTCTTTAGCAGTAAAGGCCCTTTTAGTAGACCGGTGCGAGCACGACGTAAGTCTTATAAAATAAAATTTATTATTATTGTGTTAGAAGTTAGAAATTATTGTGTTATAGATTATAATTGATTATCTTATAAAATAGAATGTATGAAAATGTGTTAGAAATTATTGTGTTATAGATTATTATTGATTATCTTATGAAGTATAATTTATTGATATTACGTTAGAAGCTAGAAATTATTATGGTACAGATTAGAATTGATAGTCTTAAAAGTAATATTTTACTATTATGTTAGAAGTTAGAAATTATTATGGTATAGATTAGAAATAATTTTACTATAAATAGAATATATTACTATTTTGTTAGAGGTTAGAAATCATTGTATTATAGATTAGAATTGATTGTCTTTTAAATTATAATTTATTGCTATTTTTTTAGAGGTTAGAAATTATTGTATTATAGATTAGAATTGATTATGTTATAAATTAGAATTTATTACTATTATGTTAGAAGTTAGAAATTATTATGGTATAGCTTATAAGGTAATTAATTATAATCTATAGTACAATAATTTCTAACTTCTAAGTTCTAACACAATATCTTTTATTAGATATTCAATTCTAATATACAACGTAATAATCTATATACATATAAAAAGGTTTAATTATTTTTAAAATAGCCACTATTTTTTGCCAAAAAAATATTTAATTACTAAATTAGGAGAATTCGTAGACCTAATTAGCGACTTTCTTTTCTTTATATTTGGAAAATTATTGCATATATCTCACGGTACATTTTTTTTTATTGATATGTATAACTTTGTGATGTTAGTTACGAAATAAAGCTCCATAATTATTATGCTAAAATAATCGTTATATACCATATTTTATCCTTCCTAAAACTGTAAGATAATTATTAAATGTTATCTTCATTCAAAAAATTCATATGAACCTTCCTAAAGATGTTGTATAGATTAATAAAACAATTGATAGCCAAAATGAAATATAATTTATTGTGTTCACAAAATACCAATTTTGATGTGGTCAATATATTGATATTTTTTATTTTTACTATTTTAGTAAAATTTTGTGCTAATTACGAAGAGTTTTAATTAATTGTGGTGTTTGAAGGGTTGATTATGTAAATCAATATCTAATTTAATTAAAAAAAGCCTATCCTATTCAATCACCATTTAATTTAATTTAATTTAATTTAAAACCAATTTATTGTGATATTTTGCGTTTTATTATAGAAAGAACAATTGGCCACTCAAAATATCTTAATTACTTGATATTTTTAATGTTGATTTTTATTATCGACAATATAGTGTATTTTCAAATTGAATTTCAGTCTAATTATACTATTCCAATAGTATAATTAACACCCCAATTGATCAACAAAATAATATTTTAAATTGAATTTCGTCCAAATTTAAAATATTATATTGTATTTAAATTAAATCAGAATTTGATTAACTATTAAACAAAAATATAATTGCAAAACAAAGTAAACATTTTACCGCACAAAAATGATGTATTAGAGAAAGTAAATTTATGTATTACACAAATCGTGTACTAAAGAATTTGTACAATTTTAAAATTAATTTATTGCAGTTGTTATATACTTTTCATATCAAATATTTATGATATTTAACTAAATTATACTTTGTTCTTTCCCTATAAATTCAGTCATTTTTTGATAATTTGTAGTCATCCTTCGTTTGATTTTATTTTTAATATTCATGTATATATCCGATTTTATCTTTTATTCAATTCAAGATGAAGTGCGAATTCGGTTTGATCAAGAAAGCAACTCGAACCAAGAAACTATGTATGAAGTTGCGAACAATTCGAATAATTGATAATAATTTTGTTGTTGAATAAAAAAATTATTTGAGTATTCTGTCTCATGATGAGGAGGTGAGAATAAAAAATATTTGAGTATTCTAGTTTATACTGATATACTTTTTTCAATATAATTAATTATATTTTATACTATCATAATTTATAATAATCATACTAATATAATATATATTATATAATAAATTAAATTTATTATCATATATTAATATAAAATACATATTAACATATATTTATAAATAAAAATATATATGAAATTATTAATATATTAATACTTTTAAACATATATATATAATATTTTATATGATAAAACTTATATATAAAATTGTGTTAATTAAATATTAAGACAATTTAAAACATTCAAATAAAACTAACTAATAGTAACTAATATATATATATATATAATATTTAATTTTTTTTATTTCACTAACAAAAAGAAAAAAAAAATGAAAGTAGGATGATAAGTGTATTTTCTTTTATTTTGTAAAAACCCATAATGTTTTTCCATATTTCATGTTCATTTAGTTACATTTAATCACTAGTACAATACCCGTGTATTACACGGGTGCTTGTTAAAAAATTATTCTTAAATTTTAAAATTAATGAGAAAATTATAATAAATTTAGTTTACTTTTTTACAAAAAA